TTTATTACAAAGGTGTTTTGAGAATGTATATATCTTGTTTCGTTTCGGAAATATAAAATCGAACAACGGTCGATCTGACATCCACAGCTAAGAAGAACGAACGAAATGTACCATGTCCTGAGAACAAGTAGTCTTGCACTTAGATCTTTGTTCTACGGATGAGAATGTTATCAACCCTTTTTCACACCTCCGGTACATAAAGTCGGGACTACAGTACCCAACGCTAAAGAAATGCTCTGACTTTGGGCTCTAATAGCCTCTGAATGGTGATCAGCAGCCCGATTCAGAAGTCTTCGATATTGTAACTGAATCGTTCGATTGGATTTCGTTCTCTAATCGGAGGGCGCTATTCTGACGTTGGAATTAAACGTTCGATTCTGATTCAGGTGCGATATCGTTATCCAATAGCGTTTACGGAGTCAGTCGGTGAAATACTATATTATAAGAAAAATGAAAGTCCTTTTATACACATTTTTAAGACTTTAAATGTCTAAAATATACGAATGCATTAAAATGAATTATTAAAATTGAACACAATGCCACTTTATTTAAAATATTAAGAGATTTCCATACTACATTCTTGCTTTATAAACAATAAGACGTTCGGCAACTTTCATTCGATAATTGTATTCTGAATTACATCTGTGCCCTTTGCCGGTCGAGAAGTTCGAGAATCGTACGGGTGTGACGTCATTACGGATCGGTTTCGATTACGACAGTTTGACGTTCGATTCGGGTGTTGTGAATAAAAATGAAAAGAAATCGTACGATATCAAATCGAATCGGTTGATAACTGAGTTATCGTAAGGTATGGGGTCGAATCGACCCCAAGGGTCTAACGGAAGACTGCGGGCGGATAAGCTGATATCCAACCTCAAGCTGCAGAGAGCAGACACTGTAGATCTGCTATAACACACTTCTGTGTCTCCTAAGCCAGTATTAATCTCAGCAAACATAAGCTCCGGAGGACATTAAGACAATTGGAGGAAATCCTACAGTTTTTTAAGCTTCCCATTTGTTACTAGTGACAATTAAAGTAAATGAATTGCTGGTCAGATATTGAATGATACATAAGCAAACATTACCTATAACAAATAATACATTTGCCTCGTTAAACACAAAATAAATAATATAATCTTGACACAATAATAATGATATAACGATGCATGATATTTTTAATGTGGACGAACTGATAAAAGGAGTAATCATTTCGGTAGAGGTGAACCGCGTTACATCATAAGAGAAAATTATTACATTATTGTACATAATACACACGCGTCTATAAGCTTGATTTCCGGAAAAGATTTAGGTACTTCTCTTGCTACATTCCTGATATCCCTTTCGGTTTCGCGTTGATTTTTGTTACTTTCGAACTTTTTTACTAAGTACTTTTTGCACTTAAATTGAGAGATGTCTTGTGGAAGTAATACTTAGCAAAGTTCTAAAAATTTGGTTGCAAAAACACAACAGTTCGGCAGCCATTGTTAAAAAAATACATTGTACATTTTTAAAATGTCGTTTTTTTCATAGAAGCAACAGTTGGACTAAACATTTTTAAAATTAGGAACTATAGACTGCACAGAGAAAACAAAATCATGGACGGAAAAACAACAATGTAGAAGAATACACGTAAACAACATGCTACTAAATTACCAAGCGAAATTCAAACACTGAACAAAACGACAAATAAAACTAAAATAAACATGAACAGTGTACAATATGCAAAACCGCAAGTCGCCGTGCGCGAACGCAGCCCGTGGCGAAAGTAGCTGCGCGGGTGCCAGTCAGTGAAAGTGAGGCGGAAGAGCGACTTTCTTGAACCCTGCGCGACATAGCTATCCTGTTTTGTTACTGTAGAATATTACGTGTATATTGTTATTTTCGTAATCAAGCTGTTACAACCATATCAGTGATATCGTGTACCTAACTACACGTTAGACAACATTATTAACGCCACCACTGATAAGCGTGATTACGTAATGCGCTTAGAAAAATAAAGAGCTCAAACAAAACCCTTGGTTCATTTGAAGAAAGGAGAAAAAAATTGATAGACAGCTTAATGGGACAACACGCGAGTTGCAAACTTAAAAGCCCGCGAATTTTCAAAATCATGGCCAATTAACATATACCACAATTTAGCCATCCAAGGTGGTAAATTGTCTGGTCGCTGAGGTCCAGGATGCTGACGTCGTAACCAAGTAACATTATATTATTGACATTGTATCCAATTCAATTATTATATATTATCTCCAATAGGCGATAGGGGAGAGTGGAAGAAAAATAAATGTCGTGCCGACCTCACCTAGCGTGGGATAAGTACAGCAAGAAGAAGAAGAGTCTCCAATAATTTTATTATTGTACACTCAGTTTGTCTACATGCATTTCAGTCAATCTCTAGTAACTCAGTAATTAATATTTTGTGCCATTGTTCTAATGTCATAGTCCCTGTAGCTGACCCTATGAATATGGAATAGATCAAGTGGAGTAAGCAAGACAAGGTAAAAAGTTGATTAAACAAGTTACATAATGCACGCAGGTATGAAAACAACTGCAGAAAAACAATGATGGAATAACAAGAATGGAATAAAAAAAATAACATTAATTCATCAAAAAAGTAATGCAAAAACAAATTTAACAGTACGAAATTTAGAATTTTGTAGTAAAAAAGATAAATTAAATATGTAATGAAAATAGATTTGTAAAGATGACATTCCCATTGTTTGTATTCGTCATCTGCTATTCATTTCAGCTTCTAGTGTAAATTGGTAATTTTGTGCTACATTTGCCTTGCCTATATGCCTAGAATACTTCCACTTTAGATGTCTAGAACACCTTGACAAGTTTATTTGCTCTTCAGAATGAATTGCTACAGGTGCTCAAGTTTAAGCTATGTTTACATGGTATTGAATCAGTGGTTCAGGTTTATTATCGTAAAGAACAATATAACAAGTACACCATTGAACAAAGAACTCATGTAGAAATGAAAGTTGAAATGAAGCTCTGGTCACAATCACAAAAACTTGACAGTGACGGGAGTATTCATAATAATGCTAAAGGGTATGCTAATGAAAATATTGTGCTAGGGCCAATTTTATATGGCAAAAACTGGCCAATACAATCAATCCACAGTACACAAAAAAAGGTTTGTGGCATTTTGCCATTTTGTCCTGCAGAAACTTGCCGTTAGGGCAATTTACAATCTGGGCCCCAGAGTGTCTCCGAGAGATAAGTTTAAGGAATTAACATTCTTACATTTTAACAGGAATTTAACATTCTTATCTTCACAGTACATTTATGAAAATGTAATTTATGTTAAGAGGAATAGTAATTTCTTTATGAAAAATATTGACAGACATAACATAAAAATAAACTAGCTGTTGATAGTAGTCGTCACAAAGTCACAATTTCATATAAGGGGCAATGTGTACGCTTCTATAACAAGATTCCGGTTGATTTACAAAATTTGCCTTTCACAAGGTTTAAAACTATGTGAGTGAAACAAAAACTTTATACTAAACGTTATTACACAACTTCTGCGTACTTGGATGACAAAAATCCGTGGTAGTATCCCGTTAAGCTCATGGAAGTAGTCTCGATCTCTAATGTTTCAAAACAAAAATATACATATATTGTAAATGTTGAATGTGTACAAATGTTATTTACAAAGGGCAAATCATAGAGTTTCTTGCTCATTCTTCTCAGGGGAATCTGCCTTGCGAATGAGCGGTAGAGTTTATCCAATGTGACGATTTCAAGTATAATAATGCTTACTTATGAAACAAAGATTATTTTGCATTTGAATTTGAATAGGTAAACAAAAATGGATGTGGATTTCATCACACGAAGAACAAATGAATAAGCTGGACTGTAGTCTTCCTAATCAACCAAGATAAACGAAACAAATCTCAACACGGAGTGCACATCTAATCATTAACCTAATAAATCAAGATACAGATGAAACGTGGATAGCTGTGGTAAGCAAATGATTTTACTTGCCACCGTGGCTAAAGCTTTTGGTTCGAATCCAGGCTCACACTCTTGACTTTCTTGAAATTTATGTGCAAAATTTAATTTACCATGAATTTTTAGTTGAAGGAAATCATTGTAATGACAATGCACATCGAAAAAGGTTCACTATCCTCAAAAAGGGAGGCGGACTATGACCTAAACCCGAGCAGATGTATAAATTGGTTGCTGATGATGATGGATAGAAAGATGTGAGCTCCTTTTTGTTGTTCATAATTAATAAGTATTAAGAAATAACTACAAACTTATCCATATATGTATGTATGTATATGTGTGTTTATGTGTATATAGGTGTAAAATAAACAACTGTTTAAAAAAGCATTGAAGCCATCAACACAATGGAGATTTTTCCATCACCTCATCAAATGAGAAAGATGACTGTTAAAAATAAAAGAGGTTGATTAGTAGTTCAATCAGATAAAACATAAGTATTAACTAACAGGCAATAAATAACACAGAGCAGTTAATGTTGGATAGTATGTTACTAAGTAGATGAATATAAGTAAACACCTATCTGATACACAAATCATCTCACATATACACTACCATAAACAAGAAACTGGAAAGGAGATCAACTAAAGTTAAGGAAAAATACTGAGGTTTCAATGAAGTTATGATACAAGACAAATACTCCACACAAAGATCAAACCTAGAACTTGCCAAGCCAGTTTTGATGGCACACACAAATTTTCTACACAAGGTAATTATAAGCTATTCAGATAGTAACATGATAAAAACACCCAAACAGGCTTCGCAACGGGAATATTGCCATTAATCAACAACTACACAAAAAAATATTATTACATTAATTATTTAACACAAAATAATATCACAAAAAAATAACAAAGTGACACTTACATGATACAAAACACGCAAAATATACAAGCTAAAAGTAGCTATGGAAATGAATATACAGAAAACGAAAAGAAAGTAAGATAGAACATACTTGAAAGAAACATGTAAGCATTGTTTACCTGTCGAAAATCCACGTCACGACGTCGCAGCGGAGCCAGCATGGCTCACACGGTCCAGGAACCGCAAATAAACATCCAATACCTCAAAATTACACACCCAACGCAAATAAAAGTTACTTATCGTCACACTGTGTACACATAACACACTTATAAATAACACAAAACACTTAATTTATGCCTCTTGTAACGAACTAACACTTCTTTTCACTTGTATCACTGAGAAAAACAATCCTCGCGGATATTTTCCTCACAACGTACACAAATAAAGCACCTCTCCGTGGAAACTATTTGCGAAACGACATGTCAATCTACGTAAAATTATATCTAATCTAACGCGGTAATACTTTTCCTACAGTATTTGAAAAGATATATTTTAATTACGGGTAACAGCTTACCGTAATCACATAATAAAGTAGTATTTATGAATTTGCATTTCGAAAATATACCAAAAAATTGAGCAAAATGCGAGAAACAACCGCTACATTCGCGAATTTCTTGAAAACTGGAACATTATTGCCATAACAAAAAATAACCAGCTGTCATTACTGTCAACCGAATGACAGTTAAAGGGATATCACACTAGAACAAAAATTCCAACATATTCCACGCAAAAATGACAGATAAGTGCGAACGTGCAATCACAATCGAAATCACTTTTTGTAAATTATCCTAGCTTCCTATTTTCAATATTTGCACACACAAATTCATTATAACATTATTACATTTATTACGTTTTATTAAAAGTAGTAGTAGGTAAGTTTCACCTGATCATTAATCATGATATCGATCATTGACTTACAAATAAATGGACGACGGGTCTAATACAAAAACCACAAAAAAATGTCCCAAGTCAACCTATTCGAAATTTAAATTGTAATGTCATCGCAGTATCGCGCTGTCAGTCGAACAAATGAAGACTAAAGCGGAGTTTGGCGCTCTGTATACGATTTTAGCGCCTTACAAGTGCGGACACTTTTTAGCGCGGACCCGACGTCCATATAATTGTAAGTCAATGATATCGATAAGTGAATTTGTATATATATTTATTCATTTGTCTTCGAACATCGAAGATTAATTCATTGATTAATAATCATGCCCGTGATTATTTAAATTTGCGAAATTGAAACAATGTGAATATTTTATTTCCATTTTTTTTTCAAAATCACCATTCGGACAAAGACATTCTTTTAACCTATAAAGATGAAAAAATGGTCCACACAAATTAATACCTAGTTCAACTTATTCTTAATCTTTAATGGATTTTAGTATTTTTAATGAAAGATAAACCTATTTCTTGTACGCAGTTATGGCCAATTTTTAAAACACGTTCAATAATTAATATTCAATTAAAATTCAAACTTATTTCTTGCAAACAGTACACGCTATTATAGCTAATTTTGTAAATTATTTTGAAATAAGGCAACATTCGTTTGTATCTGATCTCATGTGGTACTCGAATATCTCACTATTAACCAAAGAAATACTTTTGTTGTCGAGTTCGGTTTCCTGGTTTAGATTAGTTATCAAGCTCTTGCATAGATGGCGCTATAAATTTACTCATTCATCGATGCTAGTGCCCAAGGATTAGGGCATCATTTGTAAGAAAAATTATCAGCCTGTGTCAATAACTTTTTGCGGGTAGTTGAGATTTGTTGGATTTCGAACACAGAAATGAAAGCCAGTCTCTATCTTCAGGATTTTAATCACAAATCGAGAACTTAGGCAATGTTAGATTAGCCACGGGAGTTGCTTAAAGATTTTTTAGTAACTTGTACGTCGTTAATTAAGATTATCATCCAACGCTGAATAGTAACATGTCGAAACCTCACATGTAAAATTATTATTTAAAACCGTCATTTACATTTTGCAACAATTTATGCGTTTCCTACATCAATTTAAATTTCAATATACATACAGAATCTACATATTTTACTTTCACAAATCCGCAGCGTCAGTTCTAAAATATAAATAATTTTCGGGTAAATATACTGCAAGCAGTTATTAATTAACTAAATTATTGTGTACTGTACAATCAAAGTATTAAATAATTTTGACTAAGAACCTTAAATTAACAAATCCAATACCAAAGAGATCTACACAAAGCGTTGCTACAATGTATAACATCATAGTAACAAATATTATATTATGTAATTCTAAGTTCTTATGCTTCAGTCTTACATTTTATTAAGGAGAAGTATACTGCCAGGCAAGCTGAAAGGCCCCACCCGTGACCTGATATCTACAGCTCTAACTGCGAAGTAATACTTGTATCCGGCCATAAATTGCGTCAATGTGCAGGCCATTGGCAAGGGTAACGCTTTGACATCGCCAATCTTTTTCCATAGCGCCGTGTTTGGAGGCGTTGAAGTTTCTTGATAAGCATACAATTGATAACTAGCTATTTCTTCGTAACTGTCATCTTGATATCCGTCAATTTTCCATGAGATGACTATGCCGTTTTCTACTTTGGATAGTTTTAGATCCGGCGCTGGTGGTAAAGCTTTCCAGTTGGGGGGTTGATATTGTTTCATGGCGTCCGGTAAAGGTGCCGGGTGCCTGTTGCTGTTAGGACCTCTGCCCGAGCGCACTGAACTTTGCGGCAGTCGCACCATTGGAGGCCTGTTCGCTCTCGGTGCTGGAATCGAACACATTTCTATTATTACACTTATAATAAGAACAAAATTTAAAATGATTATAAAATAGTATATCAATTTACCAGGTGATGGAGATACATTCTTCAACATTACAGCTTGTCCCGGTCTAATATTCTGAGCCTGGGGACCACTTATAGGTATATAGACTTTTCGAGGACTATTTTGAGTGAACTGCTGTCTCGTCGACAAAAGGTTTTGTGAAGGTATCAGACGCACGGGTGGAACTGGCGAATTCTTCGGCGTTTGTTTAGCAGGAGGTTCGTCATCTGTTAAATCTACAGTGACAGATTGTACACGGCTGTGTGCCCGTTTTTCAGCGGCTTTTTGTGTGACTGGAGCGTTTTTAGCGCCATTTGGCAAGGAAGTAGCTGCTTTTGCATTATTCGTAGTAGAAGGTTGTGCAGGTTTATTTGTGACATTAGTGTTCGTAGCTGGCACTAATCTAGGAACTGGTATGGACTGCACGGTACTTGCTTGTTTTTGAAGTCGCTGGTTCTGGTTAGAATTTCTCTGTGGTCGATTAGTATTATTATTAACATTTGTTTGTGCATTAGTGTTAGGACTAGCCCCCGTATTTTGCACCATTCCTTTTCGCCTGTTTTTGTCCGGCATTATAACTTGCATACCGACAGATCTAGTAATCTTTAGAGGGGTAATTGCAGTACCAGATTTCTTTTTTAGTTCTTCCTGAATAGACTTTAAAACAACTTGTAAATCTCTGTTTTGTTTCGTGAGCATCATAGCTTTCTTTTTGTACTCTTCTATGCCTAGTGCCATAGTTTTCAATTTTGATTTGGTATCGTTTAAGTTGCTCCGTTCGACTACACTTTCTACTATTTTTAGAATACAGAACTCCTCAAGGTCATCTCTGGTCATTTCAGCTAAGTTTTTCTTGAAGGTTTTAAAGAAATTGTCAGGAATTAATGGTTTAGGTTTTTCAGATTTCTCATCAGGGTTTTCATCTACAATTTGTTCTGTTGTCACTTTAGGTGAAGTGGTTCTTTCCGATATAACAGGATCTGAAAAAGTATAATTATGTAGTTAATAAAAGGAATTCATAAGAAAGTGCAACAATTGATAATAAAATTTACCCTTACCCAGATTATTGCCAGTGACTGGCACCTTGCTGTCTTCAATCTCTTTGCTGTTAACTGATTCAAGGTCAAAATCCAATTTCCCACTTTCAACAGTTGCCTCAGGGGTTTTTTCCTTGAGATCACTGCTTGTGACATCATCAATAAGCATGATGTCATCATCATCATCTAGGTTTATACATTTTTCCGAAACTTCAGGACTTGTGACCTTTTGTATATCTACTTTAGATGGTTCTGGTGAAATAGTCTTTGGAGGTTCTTCGTCATCATCAGACAAAATATCTAAGGTATTTGAAAGTCTAATAGTTGTAGTACATATTATCTTCTCTTCGACTTTCTGTGCTACACGAGATACTTCTTTCTTATCACATGTACCCTCTTTGCGATCATCTTCAACAATTTTAACTTCGTCTAAGTCTACAATATCATTGACTGTATTTGCAATAACGTCATTACTTTCATTTTTAATTTCAGAATTTTTATCTTTTACAGTGTCGATTTTCATGTTTTTTGTACTGGTGTCTTTATTCTCATTTTGATCAACAGTTGATACAGTGGTAACTTGACTATAGCTATCATCTTTATTTTTATCTACATCGTCTATTTCTCCATTCCGCGAACTTTGAATAGTGGTTTTATCCCCGTTCTCACTAATATCCATTTGGATGATACCCTGAATGTCAGCATCATCTTTGTTTTTATCTTGCAAATCAACCACTTCAACGTGCTCTGCCGTTTGTGCATATTCACTCTTCTCTTCGGCTTTAACGTCGGCAATATCATTAATTTTACATTCAGTACTCACCATTTCAACGTCCTCTGTAAGTTGCGCAGGATTATTCTCTTCAGTGATTATTTCCGTTATTACGTCACCGGGATCCAACATTTCCTTAGGCATCTCTGTGTTTTCACTGTCGCCTTGTGTTATTTCACCTCTAATATCAGCGGCATGTACTGAAGTTTCCTTACAGTTACTATTATCACCAGAAGAGATAATCGTACTGTCGATTTCTCTAATACTATGTACGTCATCTGCGTCGATCGTTGAAATTTGTGCGATTTCTTGTCTTACAGAGTCTCCATCATTTGGACAAGTGGAAGGAAATTCTTCACCTAAGTCTGAAATTGCTTCGGAAGACTCGTTGGCTGCTTTTTGTGGTATGGTTTCAGATTCATCTGCTGTTATTGAAGCATGTGAATTTTCTTGTAATGTTTGCTTAAATTCACTATTTTTTTCTTTAACTTCATTAAAATCAACTTCACTAATTATCACCTTAGCTTCATGCTCTACATCAACACCTTCGATATTTTTTTTTTCTTTTAAATCATCGATTTCTGTTTCTTCGTGTGATTGTGTATCCTTTACCGGCTTTATTCCTTTGACAACAGTATCATCATCATTTTTGTTTTCATCTTTATCATCATCATTTTTGTTTTCATCTTTAACTGCATTATTCTCTGTAGCTGCATTATTCTGTGTATTAATTATAATACCAAAAATTTTCGAACCCTCGTCTTTTTCAACAGAATTATTTTGAGATTTATTCTCGTCAATTTCATGCGTGACATTTTCAGTCCCATTTTTAATGACAGAACAATTATGTTCAGTGCTATCCGTCAATTGCTTACAATCTTCATCAGTCACAGCAGCATCATCAATGGATTTTTTGGCTTCTTCTTTCGTATGTACACTAATCTTATCGTCATCTTTAACTTCTGGAGTTTCTGCAGGGTGTCTATTTTCGTAAATGTTAATAATTTTATTTTCTTCGACTTGGATGTTTTCTTTATTGGCAATTGGTATTTCCTGATCGTCAATTGCTTTAATGACATCATTCATTTCTTGAGATCCATTGATAAATGGTTTTTCAATTAGAGATTCTTGTTCAATTGTCGACATCTTCTCAGTATCCGTGCTCTCAGTGTTCACAATTAGTTGCATTTTTTAACATTTCCTGCGCCGATTACCGCTAAGACCTGGAATAAAAAATAAATAAATAAATAATTTTTTATTGATAAAAGGGGAGAACGTTTTTTTTTCAAAAGTGGCGATATGAATCCCTGTGTTCCATATTTGGTAAAGTTTTGTAGTCGTTGAGGATGATGCAAAACACATCGTGATGAAACCTGCGTGTCGAAGAAGGTTCAGAATCCGTGGAAAACGTGTTAAGTTCTCAATGCGCATTATGGCCTAATCTCTATCCTTTCCTACCCGTGCGCAGCATTAGACGTATGCCTAATGTGTTAATTATTATAATGATAATTTTAGACTAAAGTGACATAAATAAAACAAAACTATTCAATGATATGTCAATTTCCAATCACATTTTTTTTAAATTAACCTCGTCGCAACGGACGACTTTAAATATATTGCAGACATTATGTCGTTATTGTTTAAAAAAAAACCATTTCAGTACGAATTTCGTTAAATTAATGTCAATTTTATTACAAACAAGATTGCGCACACTGTACACATTCAAACTAAATTGTAGTGTCAAAAGCAGGTTAGGACACTTTGCAACTCTATGCCGCTTGCGATAAGAACGATCCAAAGTCCAATGTGTCAAGCTTGATATTAGGCTTGTATAGTTCATGAACTACGAACTATTAGAAATATATTCCCGACACTGACCGACATGAACTAGTTCGTCTTGTACGGTTTTAATAGTTCATCGTTCTTTTTAGTTCAGTACGAACTAGGAACTGTCTGCGTTGATAGTTCACCAGTCTTTTATTCAGTAGGAACGATGCGAGCGGGACAAATAGCGATCTTTCACTGCTTTTAGCGCAAGTTCGAGTGGGATGCACGATTGAACGTTGCTATATCGTTCTAAGTCTTCTCTAATACGTATCTACATTATGCATTATGTATATATAAGTTTGCAAAAAAGTAAGTGCTCATATGTTTTGGTAGGTGTGGTAGTTATCTGTATGTATAATATCAAACTACGTGTACGAGTATATGAATTAGTTGTAAGTACGTACCTAAATATTGCAATATAATATTTTAAACACACCGTTGTAACTAAAATTCTTGTTTTGTGCAAAAAAAGGATATTTAGTTAGAATGACAGTTTATATACATGTAAAATATGAAGGAAAATCAAACAGTGCCCATTCCATACAAATTGTATTTTTAAATAATTTAGTACAGTGTATTATTGATCTCATAATACGAGAAGTCCGTAGAAGTTCATGTGAATTAAATTACTAGTTTGGAGCGTTCGTTCAGTGTTCGAGCAAGGACAAGACAAACTAACTAACTAAGGAACTAGATGAACTAAACGAACTAGAAGACCGACCTAGTTCAGTTGACTGATTGAACTAACTAGGATCGCTCCCTCTAAGGACCGATCAGGCACAAGTCTACTTGATATGCTCTTGAATATCTGTTGCGTAATTTACTGTTATTTAAAATAATCTTCAATACAATGCAACTATCCCTTGCGACTCTCCCGGTTCCTATAGTCAAAAAACGATCCGTTTTGCTTTCGGTCGGTACTCTTCTTAATTAAGCGACTTAAGCCTAAACCGCTCCTCTAAAAAGCGTTTCGTAAGTGTGTGTTACTCGCTACCTACAGACGAAAGGGTCACGAAGACGAACAATGTAATAGTAAGGATAATGTATAGGGATGGCAGTTCGTAGTGTTTCTATCAATGATATTATACTTGTTGGGTTTCTATAATATTTTTTAAATGTCAACGAGCTGTCAAAGCTACTAGGCGTTATTAATTTTATTACCGCCCGAATTAGGTCGGTTGTGTTGTTTGGTAAAGTTTTGAGTGAAAGTGAACTTTCAACTGGCTGGCAGTTTAGATTAGCGATGGGCGAGTAGAGTTATTTAACTCGGTTAACTGGAGTTACTCCTATAACGAGTCAATTCGAGTCACTTTTTCATGAACTCGACCTAACTCGGTTGACCCGCCCTGCCCGCCACCGAACCGAATACTTCATTCATACAGCGCGTCGGTGACCTTCAGAGCACGCTCGAGTCGCGAACGATGGGCGAGTAGAGTTATTTAACTCGAGTTACTCCCACAACGAGTCAACTCGAGCTACACTGTGAACTTTCGGTCACGCTCGAGTCGCTGTCCAAATCGGTGAATCGACGATTCGAGTTCTACTCACGACTCGCGGTTGCTCTGTCAAACACGAGTTGCAACTCGAGTTAGCAGACAAGTCAACTCGAGTAACTCGAGTTGAAACAAATACTACTCATCCCATCGAAAGTTTAGACTGACAAACAGTAATCTGTAAACAAGTGACGCGTATGCGTTTTGTTCACTCGCCGGCATAGAATGTCAAACCTCTTCTAAATCATAATCTATATGCAAAAATATATGCATACACCATTTTTAAACTATTTATTCACATTCTTGAAACATAATTTTGAGTTTTTAAATTTAAATGTAGTATAATATCATAGTTATATCATTTTTTATATATTTGCTAAAATATGTGTTTTTGGTACAATCAAGAGCACGTCAACCTTGACACTTTGTACTTTGAACCGTTTTTATCGTAAGCGGCATAGAGTTGGATTTAAAACTTAAGTGTCAAGTTTGACGTGCCCTTGACCCTATATAACAAAACGCAAAAAGAATCTGTGAGGTCCTTCGGTAGGCGGTCAACTAACGTCCATCTGTCGCAGGTAGTCGGGTCTACAGTAATGTGAAACATAAATGTTATCGAATGGTTATTGTTATTGACTTTACGAACGGTTAGAATAACCGACGACGATGCGTTGATTATAGGAACCGGTCATCACACAACCATCATCACCTTTTCAAACGAGTGAGACCGAACGCTTCATCTTATCCTCACAAAACACGACTTGATAGATCAAAGCATGAAAACAAAATACTATACATTTCGAAGTTAAAAAAAATTAAATTATTAATAATTTATCCGACCAACTGTGATAAACCAAAAATTTTAAAAACCATTTACAGAAAATATGGTAAAGTTCATTTAAAAAATACACGCCAAGTACGTACCTGCGCGACGAAAATAAAGCATCGACCTTAATAAAAATCTCCAACAAAACATTCAATGCGCGATATTTGGCTGTTGATTGTTTATTTACTCTATTTTTGCAATTCTATTCAAATTTTACAATTTATTCCTGGACTGCAACTGCTGCAAGTACCAAAAATCAGTAATTTTAATACGTATAAATCTAAAAATGTAGGTATATATGAACTTGATCACCTAACGGTGAAATTTTATGCGAAAAAAACATAAAAGTTTGCCAATGAGCGAAGAATACAATGAAAGATTCAACGGAATTAGTCAAAAGGAGATAAAATTTCATAAAAACGGAGGATCTGTATGTCATTCATTTGTCAATGTCTTGACTAAACACATGCGCACACGTAAGGCAAAAGAAACATGACAATGCAGGGATTACGTGGACTGTCAAGCCAAAGATACTACTGTGCTCGAAGAACGGCAACGGAAGGGCAACAGCATCAAATAAAACAAAGAAACTAAAGTGCTATGATGAATACATGAATCCAGCAAAAAACATAGCGATTAGTTTAGTATTATCATCATATTTATTACGAACACGATACTTTACGTATTCATTCGTGATCGTAATACTATTTCAATAGAGAAAATTAAAAACATGAAACAATTCAAAATGGCGGCGAACGTTCTATTGCGCGAAGCACCGGAATAAATTCCCCACTCTGGCTTTAGTGCTGCACGTTGATCGCCAAGTGACGCAAAGGCGAATATCACGGAACTAGTCGTCGCGCTCTAGCATATTTAGAAGCACGTTAGTGCGAGGGAGATGGGGACGTTCCGCGAGTGTGAAGTGAAATAAAACGAGCGAGGTGAACATGGAACATGCCAAGGGGTATCGAACGGGGACAGAGGAAACTTATAATCGTAAGATCAGCCAAAGAGAGGTTGACAGAAGTGGGTCATTCACCGGTGTAGTTGGTTTACTGCGATATCTCGTAGAATAAAGACCAAATTAGAACATCATTTTGGGGGAAGAAAGAAATACAATGTTGGATTTTCCAGTTAAGTCACATACAAAATGTGCTAAATGAACTTGCATTGAGTACAAAAGAGAATTCATGTTGTAAAACGGGTCTGATATATCTGATACATAGAGATGAAAAGAACAACCACAACTTACGTTCACGAGAAAATGATGACAATAATAATTGTCTATAATGAAATTATGTATAATTGTTATGCAAATAAAGAGACTGCACAAATTTTTTTTTTTTTATGTCGTTGTAAATGACGACTAAATTAGTATAACGCTTAATTCAAACACTCGCGATGGCGGTGGTGATAATTTACATATAAGTCTATCGCCACTGCCACCGCTAACAGAATATGTCCAGTCAGTCACGAAAGTGTTTAAAAAATATTCGAATTTAAACCATATTGCTTTGTTTTAAGCGCTGCTTTAATAACCGCGGTGGCGTTTGCGGTGGCGGTCACTAGTAATTCGTAATGTGAAACAATCATGAGCACTGACCGCGATCGCTATCGCAACTACAGTCGTATAAAGCAACATACTTAAAATAAAACAACCAAATTTAAGTATGACTATTTTTTTTGTTGACAATCCTGTTACTCGAACAAGAAAAATATTACGACTAAAGAAATAAGTTTGAAAAAATTACTTCAAAACATACTACTACTATAATACTACTGTAACTACAAATTAAAAAATATGTTGATATACGAGTACAAAGGTACCTACCTATAATGACGTCGAGTAAAAGAAGTTAAAAGAAGAATACAAAGAAGATAACAATTGCGCGAAACGAGTGTTCACTTACGCGGCTATATCGGTACTGACATAAGCAGAAGGAGTGAGAAGAAAATGGCCGCCACCAATATGGCGCGCTGAGCCGTGGCGAGAAACTCGAACTACACCGGTACAGAGTAACCGGAATGTGAGAGGTTTACATTAACGAATAGTATGGCGGCGCGAGCAAGCGGGACGGCAAAGTCAGCGTTTATCGTACTCAAATAAATAGAACGTGATATCGCGCACGTGAGTCGACTAGCGAGCGTTAGCCTCTGTGTTGTAGAGTACCCTGTGTACATAATATGTATTCGTGTTGGTATTAGGAGGGTCTTATTTTATTGGTGTAGTCCATTCTTCTGCGTTCTACTTCTTGGTGACTCATTCCTAAGTTATAGGGTAGTAAGCCGATTGAACTTCCTAATTAAAACAATATATTTATGGGTGCTTATAACAACTTCGCATCTCTATCACACGACATACAGGTACAATTAAAATTATTACTTTAAATCTCTTAAAATCCAATAAAAGTGATGAAAACACTATGTCAAAAGATTGTGGCTACCAGGTTTTATATTGAGAATACCTACAATACGGTGGAAGCAATGTTGCCGTTCCTACTAGGTAGAAAGGTCATTGATTGGTCAGATATTCTTTATCGGAAGTATGTCGGAAGAGAAGACCCTCGACCGTAGAAATGAGTAGAAAAAGCAATATTTTCAGTCGCTCTATTGAATAAATCGTAATCAATGAGTTAAACGATGGAGAAATAATAATAATAGTCGACAGGCGACGTTGCCGTTGTTACGGCGCCGAGTGGGCCGTTTGACACTGGGTGCGAGAACGCCCGACGTTTGACGAAGCGAGCCGAACGCGTACACGTCACCTCAAAAATAGAAACTAGTCATTTTTCGAGGTTTATAATGAAATGATGAAGAAAATTATGATGCACTAGGTGTAAAAAAACAATATGATAATAAGTTTTCATTAGATGGAAATACTGTAGTAAATAACACAACTTCTTCAAGGTGAACGACACGACAATCACTGTAAAGGTGGTCAATTTAGCGCAAATGTAACGCAGCCACAACTTGGTCTAACACCTAATGGTAATACGGCTATTGGCTAGTGTGTTTTTTAGATTTTTTCCAATTTCGAACCTTAGTTTCGAACTAGGTCTCAGGCAGTTTAGTTAGGTTATATTTACTTATCACTTCGTAAACCTTATGACAATTAAAATCGGATTACAATCTTAATATCTTTATTATGAAAACGCTTGAAAATAGATTGACATCACTTTATCCTCCTCTGGGAACAGAATTTTGTTGCAGACACTTGCGATAAGATATGCAAACTGTAATAGGACCAACTTTATCATCAATACAAATTACCGACGATTTTTATCAAGAAAAAGAAACTATGATATTACCGTTCAGCCTATCTACAACAATAGCGTCAAAATTTTGTACACATAATGTTAAAAATAATCCAATTTAAAAATCTATCACCTAAAATGTAGTTCAATTAATTTGCAGTGTTTATTCTAACTCTAGTGGTATCGAACACACTCAACTAACGCGTCTGACAGACTTCATCGATATGCTCTAAAAGCAGAAGTCAACGTTATGCACACTATACAATGCCGTTTTCCTTAACAGCGGAGTTCCCACAGTGCCACCCCGACGCGCTTTGTACGGATGACAAAGAAATTGTTGTACTAGAAGTCATAAGAGACGGGATACACTCCAAAGAATAATGTCGAATACCAAGCTTTTATAGACCGTGAAAAATTGGTCTCTAAGGTCTTAAAACTCTTCTTAATCAGAGATTGGAAAAGCAGAAGCATCAGAAATTAGTAGCAACATAGTTAATTAGGTAATATGCCTCTAAACAAAAAAAGGTTGCTTGTTGTAGATTGGAATTTAGGGATGACTTTGTAAAATAAGAAGTCATTCACGCTACGTATATAAATCGGTTTTTTCACGATTACGAGCCCAGTCTAGAAACAGCGGAATACGACGTAAATGGCGAAGAATTTTTGAGCAGAAAGTTGACGTATGATAACAGACATAAAGGCTTGCTCGTGAGTGCGAAAGAGACGAACGATCCGCGTCAGAAGATTGTACTTGGGAGCTGGAGCAAAATGGCGGACGGACATGGTATTGTATGAACTTTCATGTGATATTCGATGGCCAGGATTGAAAAGACGGATGACTAAATATCGTAGTAAGTACCACGTAAGTAATATTGTCTCAAATTACTAGATTAATAGCATCAATGGGCATGTAGTTCAGTAGGAGATCGCGTTTTAAATTGAATACTACAGTACTATGTAATGCTTAACATGAATGAGGAATGAACGAATATGATACGGACTTGTAATTACTTTTGTCATTTCATGGAGTGGAAGTCAAGTCAGCTACTCTGAAGAGTTCATGGGTGTGAGATATATTTGAAATGACTAGTTGAACATAGAAATGTAAGATATATCTGACTACATCTTTCGTTTGACACTATGAGCTTTGATCATCATTCATCATCATTACTGATGTATTATGTAAAATGGGATTTTTACCTGACAATAAACTATTACTATTATTTGATTCCACGACGTTTTCTATCGCTTTCTAATGCATCTCGAAAATTGAGAGCAGTGACCATTTTAAGTCGAGAGTAAAGCGTCTCGTGTTTGTTTTCATTTTTTTAGTTCGCTTCTTACACAATTGGGTTCCTTGATTTTTTATTTACGTCTTTCAACGATATTGTTATACTTACTTTTGACGTATTGTCTGCGACAGCATACGTGCCTATATTATAGTTATGAATTTATGACCAACTATAACTATTTTTGTTTTTTGAAAATTTGTGATAAGGGGGTCATTTACGAAGACTTTTTGACCTTAACAATTTTTATCAAATCAAGTATGTCATTTACGTGAGTATGCATGAAGATCTAATGTGTTATTTACGCCATATAATTTAAGTGAATATTTATTTGCTTCTCTTCCTTGTCCGTAGAAACCTCAGAGCTGGGAATCGTGAATTCGTGACCTCTGGGTTGTTATGAACTGGGTTATACTGTAGCGGCTGGGACATATATTATAATGTAAATTAATTACATACGAGCGAAAAAACGTGTACTGCGGTTGAGTGACTATCGCCATAATGGATTTCTTGGCACTTAACATATTTTGTGTCAAAATCGTTTGTTAAAAAAATAAAAATAGAAACAAGATTATTTCGTACATTGTTAATGTTTAAAAAAACTTTATTAATCATTTATTACTTCATTATGATGTATTACCAGCAAAAAAAAAGTAGGTAGGTAATCAACCATGAACAATTATTCACTAAATAGATACACGATGAAAACATTTATATGTTATAGCAGTTCTAGTGTTACTTTTATTTTTAAATAGATGTCAATGTCAGAACTATAGCACAGAAGAGCATAGAACAGCACATCAGCATTGAGGTATTGTTTATATATCTATATGATGGATGACGACTTATACAAACAAAGTCAATACAACCAACGAGCGCAACGCATGTTGGTCAGGTCGCTCGCTTTGCGCAAAGCGAGCGACGTTGCCGCTCCGCGTGATTCCAGTAGGTATTGTGACGAAAGTATAAGTAGGTTGCGATAAAAAGCAAAACGACAGCATTTTAGCTGTAATTCTGTCAAATTTGCTCATCGTAAGCATTGCTCATGTTTGCTTCTTTATCGCATATTGTGGTGATAGGAAATAGAAAATGTAAACTGATGGGATTGTGACAAATAATCTCGGCTACATTTAGTTGTGATTGATACTTGAACCTAATAACGTTACTTTGTGGTTCTAAATATACATTTATGACTAGGTTAATGGTTTAAAAAAGCGTATTTTTTTTTTAATCCATCCAAGTCAAGAAATTGACAGAACAAAACGAACATTGCAAGATTTATCAATTTTACAACGGAATGCTAAGTCGTGTGGGAGTAAGAAAAAAAATTCTTGTCTCGTATCAAGTCGTTGATTTCGGTACATAAGAACCTAGAAAGAAGAGAAAGTACAAGAAGGGAATAGAAGTAGGTAGTTACAACCAATCCTGAGAGAGAGCGATAAATTACAACTTACCAATCTCTAGAACTGCAGGTGAAGCGTGACACAGAAGTAGGTCAGTAGCAAAGCAGAAGCAGAACGCTGACCGCGAGCGAACTTTCTCGAAAGAGAGACTCCGATCGAATGAATGTATGCCGTAAACAGCTGTCGGCAAATGAGCTGCCTTGTCCGCCATCTTGTTCAAAGCGGTCCGTTTCCTCGAGTTAGAGAGAGATAGGAATATCATACCGTCCTTTATCGTGACCCGAAAGTTTTTTATCGCTCTATTGTGATCTCTTCCAATTTTGTCTTCTCTTCCCTTCTCTAAGTCTAAATTGTCAAGTACAACTACCCAAGCGGTGGTTAATCGATTTTGAACGTGGGGAAATATCTAGACTTGATACAGGTGCCTAACTAGACTAATAAAACGGAGGTTCCTTACTGAAATATCTACAACCAAGACTTATAAATTCAAAAAGATTGACGTTCGTTGACATATTGTTGTGTCATATTATAGTTTTTTAATTAGTGGCCAGTACGTATTTTATATAGAAATGTTAATGTGAAACTGTCAGAGTGTAAAAAAAACTTTGACTTTGACACGTCAGATGTGGTCTAAATACTTTTCGCTACATTTTCGACTTCTGTTTATATTCTGAACTAGTTACCTACCTATCCTTTTATTAGGACTTTGTTTCAAATATGATTTGAGAATAAAGGAAGTCGACGTTAGTGTACGTACTTTTATTTTATTAAAGCACCCACATTTAACGTAATTAATTGACTAATGTCCTGCTCAATTATCTAAATATTTTATATCTTGCGAAGATTTTTTTTACTTCATTTCTTTGAGCATCATAGTGACATCTAGTGTTAATTTAAGAAATTACTTACTGACAAACGAAAGATGCACAATACATTGCATTACGACTAATGCTTAAAAAAATCCACAGAGGGCGGTAAAATAGATTCTAAAAAAG